CCAATTTAGTCCACCCCCCTGCCTGAGGCAGAAATATCCCTAACTAAACCATCCTATGTAAATCTTTGTGTAACCTATTACTAAAACCACACAGCCAGCCCTTTCACACAACCTAAACTGCCACAAATAAAGCTAAGTGACAATGATGGTAAGTGGGCATGTCTATCTATACGTGCTGATTTAAGGCACTTTTGCCCAATTTAAGGCACACTAAGGGTGCATGTCTACATGTAAATGCCTTTAATGCACCTTAAAATGGCATTTTTAGGCTATTCACAACTAAATTTGATACCTGCTTTTGCTTAAACACATGCATGTGTCGACCTAAATAGCCTTAATGAGCATTAAGCTAACACACATTAAATTTAGGTGCACCTAAATGCACGTGTAGACATGCTAAGTGTCTTGCTGCTAGAAGGGTTGTCAAAATACAGTTGAGAGATCAACTGCAGAAGAAGGCAACACCCCTTCCCCCGACAGCCCAACTATATAGAAAGGCAAAAACCCCAACAGTTCATACTGATCAGAGCATGGGGTAAAATTCCTTCCTGACCTCTAATGGGGCAATCAGTCTTACCCTGAGCAGAGAGACAAGACCCTCTAGCCAAGAACCTCTGCGTTTTAGTTCCAGCTGAAGGATTGGCACGCCCCAGTAAAAGTCCCTGGTCTTGATTGCAGCCAATACCCAATGCTTCTGAGAAAGAAACAAAGAATCAAACTACCACCCTGTGATATTTAACAACAGAGGGGACAACATTTCCTTCTCAGTCCTATGTGGCAGAAACAGAAACAGAAAAACCCTGAAAAGTGGGAAGTACCCATAGCTAGCATAAGTATAGCTACTCCTAGATCATTCCTGGGCAATGGTTATCCAACCTCTCCTTAAATGTCTCCAGTGATGGAAATTCCACAACTTCCCTAGGCAGTGCCAGTACCTCACTGTCCTAGCAGTGAAGAAGTTTTTCCCGATATCCAATCTAAATCTACTTTACTGAAACTTCAAGCTATTGTTCCACATGCTGCTCTGTGCAGCAACAGAGAAAGTGTTCTCCATCTTCTTTATGGCAGCCCTTCAGGTATTTGAACACTTCTATAGTGATGGAAATTCCACAACTTCCCTAGGCAGTGCCAGTACCTCACTGTCCTAGCAGTGAAGAAGTTTTTCCCGATATCCAATCTAAATCTACTTTACTGAAACTTCAAGCTATTGTTCCACATGCTGCTCTGTGCAGCAACAGAGAAAGTGTTCTCCATCTTCTTTATGGCAGCCCTTCAGGGATTTGAACACTTCTAAGTTCCCTCTTTACCTTTTTCCATAAGATGAACATACCTATTTCCTTCAACCACTTATCATATGGCCTGTCTTAAAGCCCTTTATCATTTTTGTTGTCTGCTTCTAGACCCTCTAACTTTTCTATGTCCTTTTTAAAATCAGTGGCATCAGTGGCAATCCCTCATGGTCAAGGATGATCACTTCCATGGGTCAAGAAAAGAAAAATTGTGGCTGTTGAATCACCCTCCTGTCCCATTCCAAGGGTGGAGTAACCAACATGTGACCACTGCCTGTGTGTGGATCCATGGCTAGGGACTCCCGGCAATCACTTGGTCTGTCTTTGTCACCACTTGTCTATCACCATAGGACTTTGTAAGGGTTATGGGTATTGGTGGCTGGATCCAGTGGGAGAAGCCTGTGAGTTACTTGTTTTACATAAGGAGGCTGTTGCGCATCAACAACTGCATGAATCTTGGTGGAAAAGCAACCTGTATCCAGTGGCAAGAAGATCCAAGATGACTGGGGTTGTTCTTCCACTGCAGCCTTCATCCGCCTTTGCAGCCACTAAGAAGTATGCCTTCTTCATTCACCTGCTCCACAGTTGAGGTCTTTATGTTATATTGGACTGCTCTTTGTCTAATACCTCACCTTTGACCTTACTGCTATGGGTGACCCAACCAGGAGTACAAGACTCCCAACAGTGTAGCTCTTAGGGTCTTCAGTCTATGATAACCCTATCTATCCCATCAAGGTGGCAGTCCATGTAGAGGCCTTTTTAAAACAGTGCACAATATTCTAGATGAGGCCTGACCAATGCCAAGTAAAGAAGTGCTATTACCTCCCATGTCTTGCACCTTCTGTTCTATACTTGCACTTTTTATTTTTCTGTTGATGGTGTTCACAATCACATTCACCTTTTGTGCAACTGTGTCACACTGCAGATTCATATTGATCACAGTCCACCAAGAATCTTAAATTATTCACTGCAGTGTTGCTATCCAGCTAGTTGTCAACCATCTTGCATTTGTTTTTTATAATTGTACCTGAGGTATAACACCTTGCATTTGTCAGCATTGAACTTCAGGCTGTTAGCTCCAGCTTAGCCTTCCAATATGCCAAGTTCCTTCTGAATTCCTTCTGAGTACAGTACCTTCTGAATTGCATTCCTGTCCACCAGTATGTTCACACTCCTTCCCAGTTTTGTGTCACCTGCAAATTAGGTCAAGAAGCTTTCTATTCCAGCATCCAATTTGTTAATAAACATGTAAAACAGCACTGGGACCAAGACATACCCCTGTGGGACTACTGCTATTCTGACATAGATCCATTTATAATTACCCTTTGCTTGCAGGTATTGAGTCAGTTTTCTATCCTCAAGGCAGTAGTTTTGTGTAGTCTCCATTTTTACAAATTGTTTATGAGAAAGCCATGTTTTTGTCAAAAACCTTCCAGAAGTCCAGATGTACTTTATCTACTGCATTCCCTTCATCCACCCAAATAGTATTCTTGAAGAAGGAGGTTGTTTGTTTGGCCTAATTTATAAATCTATGCTGACTGACTTTGGAGATGCACCTGCCCTGGCTTACAGACAGCCCTACAATCTCAAACGTCATCTCTAAAATAAAATACTAATGAATTCTTAGCTTCACTGAGGCAGGAGGCCTTGCAATGGACCCAAAAGCCTGCCATGTCCCCACATCAGTACAGACCACATCATCACTGAGCCTAATAACAAGGAGTTCAATATCCAAAATTCGTTCACGTGCAACTTTATAAATGGCATATATGCCATGACTTGCTTATAGTGTCCATCTGCTACATGTGTCTACATTGGACAGAAAGGATGATCTGTAAGCGTAAGAATGAATTAAAACTGATCTGACAGGTGCAGAAAGACAAAAAAGCATGTGGCAGAACACTTCAACCTCCATGGATACTTCATTACTGACCTTGGGATTGCTGTTCTCAGGCAAAATAAATAAAAAAATAAAAAATAAAAACCAGTTTGCATAGGAAAGTATGAGCAAAAAATCTTCCACAAACTGGACTGGGTTAAGTGTGGCTTAAACAGAGGCTAGGATTCTTATCTTATTACTTGGATTAGCTTTTGTGACCCGTTTTGTTCCTGTGGGTTTAATGCTTGTTTGTTTGATGCTCATCTATAATAATAATAGGCTTATTCTGTTTGTCCAGAGCACTCTGGTTGTCTGAGTAGCCAATCAATGCTTACTGAAACAACCAGAGTGCTGCAGACAGACAGTGCTCCAGACAGACAGAATAAGCATGTTATTATTATAGATCCTGAGGCATTTCAAAGAGATATGCAGGTAAGTTAGAGCTAGGATGAAGCTCCGGGGCCCCCTGCCATAGAGTGGGCAGGCTCTGCCAAAGAAAAAAGAAAAGCGGTGAAGGGCCTGCTTGTGCTGCCGCTCCCCCTAAAGCCACAGCCCCCACACCCCTGCTGCTGCCTCTCACTCCTGACCTACAGTACCCCCCCGACCATGCTGGTGCCTCTCACTCCCAACCTGCAGCTCCCTGTCCCTGCCTGTGACACACAGTACCCTCCCCGGTGTCCCTCACTCCCAAGCCACAGCCCCCCCACAGTTGTGCCAATGCCCCTTACTCCTGACCCACAGCCCTTTGCCCCTCCAGCCCTGATACCCATGCAGCTCCCTGCTGCCCCTGAATAACCCCCCCACTCCCTTCCTCCACTGGAAGGGCAGGCCCCTCCCCCGCCTGCCTGCCCTACCGCAGCCGCAGTCTCAGCAGGTGTGCATGTGAGCATAACACACACACACCTTCCCATCCCCCCTACAGTCCCCAGCCCTGGCCCTCCAACCTCTACCACCCACAGACTTACCTGCCTGCAGCTGCCAGGCCATGCACATAGAGCATGTGATGCCCCTGCCTCCAATAGCCGTTCCCTGCTCCCCCCAGCCCCAAGCAGCTCCAGGAAGTGCTGGGAATAAACTTCAATGCTGAGTGGAGGCAGAGCAAAATCCTGGACATTTGCTGATATTTAAAAAAAATACCTGGACAGAGATGGGAGGACCCAAAAAGAGGACATATCTGGGAAAACCCAGATGTATGGTAACCCTGTTCATGAGGTTCCTTCTAGCCCTACTTTTCTATGATTTATACTGAAGAGCAGTGGAGAAATTATAGCCCAGTTTGGAGCAAGGATTCATGCTAAAACACAGCCCCCTTCCCTTATAGAACTTTATCTATCTCAGTGAGCCACACACCCTTTCTTCTGACTTCTCACATTCACTTTCTTCTGGGCTCACAGATTTCTCACTCTTTGCTTATCCAAAGATGGGTGGGGGTAGGCCTGCTTCAAAGGCGCAGAGGATACTGAAGAAAACACTGCATAATGCCCATCCTATGTCCTGGTTGTTAAAACACTGTGCTGAGATGTAGCTTCCAACCTCTTTGGGGTGAGCGGGGGTGGGGGAGGCAGCTAAAACCCAGCTCCTGCATCTTAGGAGTTGTATTGTAATTACTTATTTATGCAAAGGAGACAGGGGCTGGCTTGAAAGTGATGTTGGCTGAATCATTCTCTTGGCTATAAAAAGTGGCGTGCATTGACCATGCTAGCCTAATGCACTACTAATCTCAAATCTGTAAAGGCTGGCTTGAATAAGAGTGGGGTAGGAATGAAATGTCTTTCTCATTCCCTCTGTGTCTTGGTGCCCTGTGTGGATATGATTTTGTTCTTTTTTTGCAGAAAAACCACGCATGAACAATATTCTTACTTCTGCTACGGAGCCGTACGATCTCTCCTTTTCCAGGTCCTTCCAGAACCTCTCACACCTCCCACCATCCTATGAGGCTGCAGTCAAGACTAATCCAAGTAAATATTCTTCTCTGAAGAGATTAAGTAGGTGTTATCTCATTCCATTTATTTGTATCTCCTTTGCTTGTAAACTGCAAGGGGCATAAAAGTAAGCCAGTGGAGGCAGGGTGCCTGTGGCCAGCACCCAGCACACCAGTGGCCCCAGGGGAACACATAGGGATGGGGGGGCTTGGCCAGCAGCTGCCTGGGTCTAGGCCTGCCCTGCCTGACTTATGGGTGCCTGGGCACCTGTGCATGGCTGACCCCCAATCTGAGGCTGGGCAGTGTAGTGCATGACCCCTTATTCTGTGTGTTGGAATGGGAGGGAGTCTCTGGTTCATTTTAGGGGAATAAAGACTTGTTCTTCCTATGCATGTGTGCAGTGAGCATGGTGCTGGAGGTGGGCAGGGGGGTGGAGGGTCCATTGTTGGCAGGGCAGGTGGGTACTCCAGGTACCCCCATGCACTATGCCTTCTCCACCCAGACCTTGTAGAACCCCCTGGGCCTCATAGATGTTATGCAACACATGGCTGCAATAATGACCCAGAGGAAGTCATCCTTGGCAACCTCATGGTGGGTAGTGATGGCATGCCAATGACCCTTGAGGAGGCCGAAGGCACACTCCACCAGGGCATGGGTCCAGCCCAGACACTAGTTAAAGTAGGCCTGGCGGGAGCCCAGGTGTCTGGTATAAGGCTCCATAAGCCAGGGTAGGAGCAAGTAGATGGGGACCCAGTGAGCAGTGGTGGGACCACGACAATGCCCAGCTGCAGGTCCAGCTCCCCTGGTGCAAATTGCCCACTCTCCACAAGTCCTGCCAGGCTGGAGTTGTGAAACCTGGGTGTCATGAGTGCTGCCTGCCCAGCCAGCACTGAGATGCATGAAGGCCCCATGGTGGTCCACAACCGCCTGCTGGACCATGGAGTGAAATCCCCTGCAGCTGTAGTAGGGCCAGTCTCCAATATGGCAGGTGGGTGATGGGGATGTGGGTCCTGTCCAGGGCCCCAATACACTGGGGCAATCCCAGTGCATGGAACCCTGACACCACTGTCATGGATGTGGAGCATGGTGTGGCCCAGCACATCCTGGAGGGCCCCGCACACCTCCAGGACAACCTCCCTGGTGGTGGCTTTGTCCACACCAAGCAGGTGTCCAAAGTACTGGTGGCTGGCAGGTGTGGCCAGCTTCTGCATGGTGAGCGTCATCTGGGTGTCTACAGGGACGGCCAGGTGCATGCCACTGTTCTGGTACTCCAGGCGGGGCTGGAGCTGCTAAAGCAGTCCCAGAAGGTGGCCTTCATCATGCAGAAACTGTGACTGCTTATCGTCCCAGGCATTCTGGACAGTGTGCAGCCACCAGTCCTGGCTGGCATGGTGGGCCCAGAGACAGTGGGGCTGGAGGACCAGGAGGATAGTGGTAGCCCCAGTGGTGGCATTGTGGAGCCCATCATTGGTGTCCTTGGTGGCAGCAGTGGTATGGTGGTGCTGAAGGACCTTGGACAGCCTACTGCAGCCAGGCAGGAAATCTCTGTTCATGGGGGAGCTTGGCAGGGCAAAATAGCCATGGGCCAGGCAGTGGTCAGTGTGGCAGGCCAGCAGAGCTAGTGCAGCAGCCAACAGGATCATGGAGCACTGGTTGTTGCTGCCAGGGGTGGGGACTGGAGCATCCATAGTGCAGAGAGGCAGAGTAGCCAAGGAGAAAGCTGCCATGTGCAGTCCCTGGACTTGGCATGCTGCTCCTCAGCAAGGAAGAAGCTGGTCAGTGAGCAACAAGCAGGGCTGGCTTTTAGAGAGGGCTGCCAGGTCCTGGCTGCTACAGCTGGAGCCTAGAGCTCCCCCTGTGGGGTCCATTGCAGAGCTGCATGAAACTGGATGCAAATCTGCTCCCTAATCTCTGCATGTGTAGATGCCTGCCAGAAAACCCTTACTCTAGCTTAGTTTATACCAGAGTAAATCTAGACCATAGTAAATGCATGTGTAGATGCACCCAGTGTTCTTCAAACACCATCCTGTAGGGTACAGTTGCATCTCTCTTTAGAGTTATTCTAAAGAGTAACAGTTATTCTCTTTAGATTCAGTGAGACTAATCATGTGAGCAACTACTAACTTATTGCAGTCTTGGGCCAATGCATTCTCCAAGTTCACACAGTATGTTTTTAGTATATTTCTTAAGCTCAGATCTTTGGTGGCCATCTGTTTAGTATACCTATTTCTGGTAGGTTTTTGACCAGTATTTGAGTTAACTCTATCTCAGTGGCTCCCAATCTGGGGTACCTGTACCACTAGTGGTATGCAGACAACTTGTCAGTGGTATGCATTAACAAATGTATTATAATTACTTTATATGACAAAAAATTGCCGGTGGTACTTAAGGTGTTTTGTTTTAAATTCGTGGTGCACAATCTGTCAGAGTTTGGGAACTGCTGCTATATCTCTTTAAATTTGGATGTACAGTGGGTGTGTCTATATGTGTCCATATGGCACCTTTGTTACTGCACCATCAGTAACAGATGACACATTAACAGCCCATACTGCACCGTGTGTACCATGCACGGTTATTTTTATCTGCTATGCCACTGTAGCAATGTACTATAACAAGGGAGCGCATTGCTACAGCAGCGTAGCTGTGGCATCACGATTTGTGACCGCTGATGCTACATCACCATAGAGCATTACTATAGTGATGTAGTGTCACATGTAGATGCGTTCGGTGAATGGTAGTCTGAAAAGATCCTGAATTTCAGTATTTTAATAAAGAGTTCAATATCTACTCATTTACACCTTGGTTGAGCACAGCACATAAGCACATGTTTAACTGCAATCAGGTAAATTCTGCCTGCTTCAGTTTAAACACATATTAAAATCAGAATCTGATTTAAAGCAGTGCTCAGTGCATCAACAGAGTACATTTCATTACTTCTTGGGAGATTTGTTCCTTTATAAAGTAAGTGAAGAGGTCAGACTTCTGTTCAGGGTAAATATCTCAAATCACCATTAATACTTCCTTTAGTAAACTCACTGTATGTTCCTAGACAATTTTTCAAATATTAACTGATACTGATAGGTCAATGGAACTACTAGGTTATAATACTATGACATTTTAACTTTTGCCTTCCTGAGATTTTTTAATCCATTTCTCAGCTGTAGTAATGTCAAAATATATGTCTATCAGTTACTCCTTAGAATTTTGCCTTTTTCTATAACTGATTTCCTTATATTTCCTTGAAATATGTCATTTGTTTGCTATTCAGTGCACCTGTTCTTCATGAAAATACTCTTAAGCACAGTACAGTATTAAATATGTTGACATACCTTACTGAAGCATCAAAAATGTATTAAAAAAACCCCCAAAGTGGACATATAGTGTTGAAATTTGACAAGCCTTAACTTTTCTCTTACCCATCAGCTAGTCTGGCTTCATACACACCAAGTAGCGCCTTACTTCAGCAGTCTGTTGATCTTGCTGCCCCCTCCAGATGCTGTGGTTTGTAACTATATGCACTGGACTCCAGATGGCTGCCCCACACTTTGATAGGGGCACATTCTTAATACAACATCACCGAAACTGCTTCTGGGGGACAGGATCTAGAAGTGGTTAAAGACAAACTCCATATTTACACAGTTTTTGAGGAAGACAGGTTCTGAAAAACATCCACCACAAAACTATTAGGTTTCTTGAAAGACCTAGTTGTAAATAGTTACAGCTGTCAAAAAGTGTTTTGTGGTGACTGGCTTCTGCTTGAAGGCCTTGGAGGGCATATGTTTAGGGTGCATATACAGGCTACATATATAATTGAGAGTGATAATGAGAGAGAGTGAGAAAACTAATGGACATCTTTACACATGCTCTGGGGTGCGGCACTTTAGAGTGACTCTCATTGATTTCATAGACATTATAGCTTTCATAGACATTAGGGCTGGAAGAGCCCTCGCGAGATCATTGGGTTCAGCCCCCTGCCCAAGGGGCAGGAAGTCAGCTGGGGTCAGATCACCTCAGCAAGATAAGCATCCAAGCATTTCTTAAAGGTATCCAGAGTAGGTGCTTGCATCAGTTCTGGGGGAAGTCTATTCCAGACTCTGGAGACTCGGATGGTAAAGAAGTTTTTCCTTATGTCCGGTTTGAAATGGTCTTCCAGAAGCATGTGACTGTTAAACCTTGTTTTCCCTTGGGGTGCCCTGGTGAACAGATGTTCTCCGATTTCCTGATGCACACCCCTAATATACTTATAGGCTACTACCAAGTCACCCATGAGCCTTTGCCTCTGCAGGCTGAAGAGTCCCATGCCTCTCAGCCTCTCCTCATAAGGCCTGTTCTCTTAACCTTTAATCATGCATGTGGCTTTCCTCTGGACTCTAGCAAGCTTCTCAACACCCTTTCTAAAGTGCGGAGCCCAGAATTGGATGTAGTACTCCAGCTGCGGCCTCACCAAGGTTGAGTAAAGCAGAAGGATGACTTTTTGAGTCTTCCTTGAGATGCATCAGTAGATGCAAGCCAGAACTTTATTTGCTTTGCCAGCTGCGGCTTTGCATTGGTAGCCCATGTTCATTTTGTGGTCAATCATGACCCCCAAGTCTCTTTTAGTCATGATGCTAATGAGTGTAGCACTGCTGAGCCTATAAATATGATATGTTTTTTTCCCCCAAGGTAGACTACCTTGCACTTGAATTTGTAGGTAGACACAGCAAGGGATTGGAGATGCTCTGTTCACCAGAGTGCCTCTTGGGGTAACAGGGAACAATGGTCACAAACTGACAGAGATCAGATTTAGGCTAGATATCAGGAAAAACTTCTTCATGGTAAGGGTGGCCAAAATTTGGAATGGGCTTCTAAGGGAGGTGGTACTCTCCCCTACCTTGCGGGTCCTTAAGAGAAGGCTTGATAGGTATCTGGCCAGGGTCATTTGACCCCAGAACTTTTTCCTGCCTAGGCAGGGAGTTAAACTAGATTATCCGTTGAGGTCCCTTCAAACCCTAGCATCTATGTATAGAAAATTAAAAAAGTGAGGGGGGGGGGGGGGG